CTGTAATTTTCATCATAGGTATACCTCAACTATGAGAGACAAAATGAGAAAAAAACTCCAGTGCCCCACTGTATGTAGTATTCTTGTGATGGTCCTATAGATCAGGGTTCCTCAACCTTGGCAACTTTAAGACAGGTGGACTTCAACTCCCAGAATTTCCCAGCAATTCTGGGAGTTGAAGTCCACCTGTCTTAAAGTTGCCAAGGTTGAGGAACCCTGCTATAAATCGTAGAGTTCTACTATGTCTCAGTCAAAGCTGGCCTTCCAGATGCTACTGAATAGTGATTCTCACAACTTTCACCATTGTCTATATTAGCTAAGACTGCTGGTAGTTGGGTTGATCATTAGTGACCAGCACTATACAGGTGAGAAGTTGGAATAGTTTAGTTAATTATGATGGCAATAATATAATTTCTGGTGTTTAATGTAGCAAACATGAAACAAAACTGAAGCATTGCTATGAAGTCATCCCAGAAACAGCTGTTTGCAAACTTTACTTTGATTTGGAATTCTACAAACCAACAAATCAAGGAGCCAATGCAAAGCAGATGGTATCGGATTTAATTAAGGTAATTTTTTAAAAAAAAGGAAAATTGCAATTGGATGTCTGGAGAGAGGTGGTATATGATGTGAAGAATTATTTAACTTACAACAAGGATATCTTAAATTTTCACATATGAAAATTAATATTATAAATGTACCTGGGGAAGTGCATAGAATAAGTTCAGAAGAAGGAATGAAAGGTAAATTTCAGTGGTAAAACTGCATCAACTTATGCTCCTGAAAACACACAAGTCTAGCTCAAGGTATGTTATGTACACTGATGACATCTGAAAAGGCGGTGGCACCTGGCCAACCTTTTCTGGGCTCAGAAGCTAAGCAGGCTCAGGCAAGAATAATACATGGAAATTCTAGAGTGGAAAGTTGAAAAAGTGTTTTGGGAGGAAACAATGGTGAATAATTTCTATAATGTACAGGTGAAACTCGAAAAATTAGAATATCATGCAAATGTTCATTTATGTCACTAAGCCAACTCAAAAGGTGAAACCAATATATGAGATAGACGCATTACATGCAAAGTGAGATAGCAGGGATGACCACAGCCTGGAGAGGATTGTCAGGAAAAGGCCATTCAAAAGTGTTGGGGACTTTCACAAGGAGTGGACTGAGGCTGACGTTAGTGCATCAAGAGCCACCACACACAGATGGATCCTGGACATAGCAGGGATGACCACAGCCTGGAGAGGATTGTCAGGAAAAGGCCATTCAAAAGTGTTGGGGACTTTCACAAGGAGTGGACTGAGGCTGACGTTAGTGCATCAAGAGCCACCACACACAGATGGATCCTGGACATAGCAGGGATGACCACAGCCTGGAGAGGATTGTCAGGAAAAGGCCATTCAAAAGTGTTGGGGACTTTCACAAGGAGTGGACTGAGGCTGACGTTAGTGCATCAAGAGCCACCACACACAGATGGATCCTGGACATAGCAGGGATGACCACAGCCTGGAGAGGATTGTCAGGAAAAGGCCATTCAAAAGTGTTGGGGACTTTCACAAGGAGTGGACTGAGGCTGACGTTAGTGCATCAAGAGCCACCACACACAGATGGATCCTGGACATAGCAGGGATGACCACAGCCTGGAGAGGATTGTCAGGAAAAGGCCATTCAAAAGTGTTGGGGACTTTCACAAGGAGTGGACTGAGGCTGACGTTAGTGCATCAAGAGCCACCACACACAGATGGATCCTGGACATAACCCCAAATTCACAATCTCAGAAAATTAGAATAGTGTGAAACGGTTCAATATTCTAGGCTCAAAGTGTCCCACTCTAATCAGCTAATGAATCCATAACATCTGCAAAGGTCTCACTTTGCATGTAATGCGTCTATCTCATATATTGGTTTCACCTTTTGAGTTGCCTTACTGACATAAATAAACATTTGCACGATATTCTAATTTTTCGAGTTTCACCTGTATGTGGACCTGTCTATGAATCTTGATTTGAAGGATCATTATTCTTTATAATGATGGCAGAAATGGAATTTAAATATATGTTTTAATAAATCTGAAACTAAATGGAGACTGTACTATAAAAAGAGATTACATGCTTTAACCTACCACATGCCGTGTGAAATAGGAGACAGTAGGAATGACAACGGAAGTATTCTAACTGTAACTTGAGAAAACAGTTCAAAAGCACCTGAATTATGTAATAATTATCTTTTTGTCGGTTAAAGGACAATCATCCTATTTTAAACTGCTAAAATCCAAAGGGCTGTGTGTATGCATCCCATTCCTATGCCCTGTTGTGTCTGTGGCACATTTGTTTGTATAGTCCAAGTGAACTGCTGTGCAGGAGGCTGTTGGCCAGAAGCCTGGCTAAGTTTGTTCACCCGGTGTGAGAGAGCCAATATCCACACAGAGTCGAGGGGAAGAGAATCTCTTTATTTCTGTACAGAGGCAAAGAGAGGAGCACAGGGGCTGTGCCCAGCAAAAAGCACGCACCCACCCAGTTTAGTGGGCTACATTTTATAGCATTCTCTACAACATTAGATACAATCTCATTGGCAAGCATAATCATATCACACCTCCTAGGTGGGCTCTCTTGCAGTTGCCATGCGGAACTATCTTTCTTATTCTCCGTCTTGGGGGTAGTGGTGAACTTCATTAGCTATGCATCCCACCTCTGGGTGTGTTTTTTACTTTGCTAATGATGAACTTTGGTGCTCTTTGTGACCTACATATGGGTCCTTGCCCTACATGTGTCAGCAAAACCACTAGATGGGCCAGGTAGGAAGCTATTTTCCTCTTAATTCTTGTGCTAGACAGAAACAGCTTAACCACAGTGTCCTTTGTTTCCTGCTGAAGGAGACAAAGACAGATACCTACATCTGATAACAGCCCTTGGCTAACAGCTTCTTAAAGCGCTACACCTATGAACTAAGTAAAAGCCAGAACATCTGCAAATAGGCTACTTCCAATAGAGAATTCCAACATCAGGCCCTCAAAGCCCTACAGGTTGCTGTTTGAAGGAAAACGAATGGCAAATGTCTCCCCATAGATAGGTATGTATCAGGGACCTGAGGAAGTCTTCTCTATGTATAATCTCTAGGCCACATGCATAACCCCAGGACCATTTATGGCCACCAGACCACACACCCCTGGAAGATAGAGCCAAACTTTTCATACTTTTTCCCCAGTCTGCAGAGGAGCCCTAAGAGGCAAAATGGATGCTTTAAGCTTTGCAGAAGCCATTACACTCTTAAAAATGCCTGAAACTCTAAAATGTGGGCCAATTTTTCCTATTTGGCATAGAATGATAAAGGGACAAAATGAGTACTTTGAGCCTCTTCAAGGATTAAATACCCATTTCACTCCTTAAATTCTCTTCCCGGTTTCAGAACTTCTTGTTCCACCTATTCCTTTGAGATAATGAAGCCACCAGCTATATTCTCAAAGAACCTCAGAGACCAATATTTTTTAAAAAACATGTGGCCCTCAGGCATAAGAAAGCTGTGGATTGCTGCTGGTACATGGAACAATTTATTTTGCTCTTCTGCCTTTATATATGAAAATATATAAATGTGTTTTCCTAAATGAAGAAAGATCACTTTCATTGGGTGTTTTGGTTTTTTTTTTTTTTTAGTTTACATGTAGAAAACTAGATGAATACTATGGAATAAAATGTTCATTTGAGAATATTTTGAATTTGGATTCCAGCACTGAAGAAAAATATAGCTGCCATTTAATATTTCTACTTGAAAACGCTGCATTTAAGAATAATATTCACATAGGTAAATATTTCAAATGCATGGAAAACTCTGATTTGCAAACATTTTAAAATAATGGTCAATTATATTTATAGTTATTTCATGTTTTGATGTTATTTCGTCTATAACAAGTTTTTGAGAGGGAGAGTGTTTAGCCATTAGCCATTGAGAAATACAGAGAAAAAAAAATACAGAGGATGAAAGGATTGAAACTTAATATTTAATACCTGAATAAATAAATCTCATTAACAGATATCTTTGTCACATCAAACTATAAGAAGCTTTCAGACTATTGTCCAATATTCCAGTTGCTTTTATAAACTTTATACTGTTCAGTTTGTATAATTATATGAACAATTGTTCTTTGATTTTAAACAGAAAATTGCAGTTTTTATGGTGATTTTCCAAATGTCGATATACTCAGTTTTTCTCTATTCTGATTATTCTAAAGGTAACTTTTTAAGAACAATTTTGCAACCTGCTATTCTTTTAACTAAGAATAAAGATACAATGGATCCAGAGAAAATCAACTCTGTTTGTCAGTGTTACAAAACTACCACCAATTTGCCTACATGTCTTGAAAACCACGGTTTAGCCAAGGATGTGTCTCAGAACTGGAAGCTGAACCCTCACAAAATATCAAAAAAAGGGACATCACAATTGAAAGAAAATCCAGATCTTTCTTTTTTAATAGTGAATGGTAAACAAGGAGAAAAGCAACTGTTTGTGGACCTTGGTAAATATACACCCAAACACTGTACCAACTGTCTAGGCATTACATGGCACGCCAGGACTGTTTAACATTGGCTAATGTTTCTTTCCCTGAGACATGCAGCTTAGAAAATAGTAATCTGTGGCTTGTTTAGGGTTTACTGTATGATACAAAATTAGCATGTTGGGGATAAACCAAAGAGCATCTTCATGGTGTAAGATTATTGATGGAAATGTTCTTAACTATGAAGCTCCAATGTGCCTGATGACATTTTAAGACCTAAACAAGCCATGGACAGCTATTCCAAAGTCATATGAGTTAGACAGCAATCAGGTATTCACCAGTTAGGAACATGATTGGCTTATGTTATATGAACAGCTCTACTATTTTCAAATGTGACATTCACAGGAAAACAGCTGGTAGATACATCTGAAAGTCTGAATCTAATATTTTGTATCCTTTTTTCCTCTCAGTTATGTAGAATGGGTTATGCACTCCAGGGAGTTTTTATATATTGCTTAAGTCAATCTTTTCAAAATGTTTAAAATACTTATGTGTTTTAGAATCCCAGCGCAAGTCTGAGTGTTACATAACATCTGATGCTACACTATAGGCCTGGTTCAATTTCTTCCCAATGTATGATATTGAATCTTGTAAGGATGCAAGAATACCCACAGGGCTTCTGTCCTACAGTTATGTGCACCTACAAACAGAAAAATTATAGCTAATTATATTATTTGATTTTGTGAAGAATTAATTTTTGTCCATATGTGAAATAAAATCTCCGGATAATAGAACAGAAATTAATTTTAGAATAGTTATACAATGTGCATCATACTGTGCTTGCAGACATCCTTAAATTTATATTTTGCTACCGTAACATCTTTGCATTTCCATTTATGAACACTTTTTAGATTTAGTGATTTCAGAAAAAAATATTAGTGTTTACTTAAGTGTTGCTTAAAATATGTTTTCCTCAAATATTCCTGAAGAACACATGTCAAAAGTAGAGAGGTTCAAAATTCCGAGATGTTAAATTCTGAGTCGTAATAACTTAATTTGTGTTTAAATAAAAAATAATCGTTCTTCAGAGTCATGTTTCTTTTGCAATCTTGTACATGGAGACAAGAAAAGGGTTATCTTATAAGAAGCTATACCACATGAATGAGAATCTTTGGATTCTGTGGTATTACGTTAAAAAATGAAGACAATTCTAGTTTAACTTTCGGACACACACACGTATATAGTTTGTCTTGATTATTCTTTCTATATTCTTTCTGTATTGAAAAGAATGTAATGATAAATTGAGAACTTACAATTCAGTAGGATTAAACATACTTACTCAGACTGAAATATAGTATTAAAAAATAGTTGTTGAATTGATTTATATTCATGGAGTCAAAAAAACATTGCTCACATATTTTTCTTTCCTTAGGAGTTTATACAAAAAATAGAAACTTTCGATTATACAGATCATCAAAAGCAAGACACACTGTTATTTTGAATATTTCAGAAGATAACAAGTTTGTTCCTAGACCTGTAAATAATTCTTGCATAGATGAGCAGTATTTTTTGTCCTCCTTGATCTGCAATGTAAGGTAGTAATCATTTCAAATTATTTTCCTATTTTTTTAAATTATTACTGAAAATGTTATTTCATTTGTAGCAGCAGTAGATGGATTTCCTTTGTCAGTTGTCCTCTGTCTTTTGGGAATGCTTCAGGCAATAATATTTGAGGCAACTACGTTACACAGAATCATAGTAGAGTTTAAACATGCTAACAGTTCCTAGTTTGAGGGGCTGGGTTTTCTCAAATTTGGAACCTTGAAACTAGAAAGCTGCGTCATAAAAGGAAAACCTTGTCCTGCTCTGCCTCTCTTCTATTTCGAGTTTGCATCTTGAAATTTTGTTAAGCCACCTACTTTCATTTTATATGTAGTTTATATTGCAGTGAAACACTCTTAGAATACTTTGCAATTTAAAAATAGTAATTTTTTAAAAATCAGTGAGTACAGAATGGAAAGGGAATATGAATGTAGATGTGTGGCTGGGAAAAAATGATTGTGTACAACATGCTTATAATTCTTGTTTTTGATCAGATTTTCAGACTGCTTAAAAATTTTGACCTGGGACAACCAAGAGGACGCAAGAGAAACATCTCTAAGTTTAGAAGGCAAAATGTCTAGGAGCTGTTTTGGTATTTCCATTACATTAAATTGAAATGTTGATTCTAGTAATAATTGTATGGCACTGATGGTCATTTTTTACATTCAGTATTTGACTATAACTATGTAAATAAACATACTTTTGAAATGTAAGTCTGCGTATCAGGAGGGCACTTTCATCAAAAAATTCTGTGCTGTAAAATATCTATTGGTTTAACATTTTGTAAGGTAATTGGTGAAACAATATTGCAGATTGGGAAATGTGTGTTGCTTCTGAGCAAGATTAATGTTCTTGCATTTGTAATACTGATGATTATGACTAATTATGAAAAGCAGCTTAGAAATGACTTATTTTCTAATGCAGACTAAAGAAAGATCAGTGCTCACATTTATGAAATAAGAAATCATATACCAGCTAACAGAATGCACTCAGGCAAGCTGAAGTTTTTTTTTAAGCTTTCATGCCAACACACCGGGCATATTGGGACAAAATGCTAACCCATAAATATGGATTAATAGTAAATGTGCCTGCCAGTGCCTCATTCATATCCAATGTCTTCTCTGAGTATGAAAGCCAGGCCATTCCGGCTACTCATGAGAGGAACCAGCAAACATATTTTGATGTATAGTGCAAATGTACCCCACTGAACCCTAACTGGGTCTTAAAATGATTATTTTTTGTTTGAATTTGCTTTGTAAGAATAAGCTGTAATTTTTTCTTTTACAGATCCAGTAGGAGGATACCATTGTTCACCTTATCCAGAAATAGATAATTTTGTTCACTCTTTAATCAACAAAGATAATGTTCAAGGAGGTAAAAAAAAAAATTGTATGCAGGAGAAATAGGTTTTCTAAAGATACTGGTATTGTTTTCAAGAAATAGAATATCTTGTTTTTCAGGGATAAGAAGATGGAATTACTTTTCACTTGAACAGCTTATTGTATATGACATCTCCAACTATCGGTGGTGCAGAAATATTGGTAGAGCTCACAAAAGTAATAATATAATGTAGGTTCACTTTTTTTGTTACTCTTAATATGTACTTAATGTTTTAGTAAACCTAAATTATAACTATAATGACTTTCATGGTATATGGACTTTTGTAATGATATTTAGAATTTGCAAAGAAAGTAGAGCAAGATTTGATGTATATTGGAATACAGAGGATAAAACAGTTTGACTGGTAATGATTTTTAGTCAGCATCAATATACTGCCATGAACTTTCTAAATCTAATATATGTGTGCTTCTCTGTGTTTATATATATGTGTGTACATGTGTGTATACAGGTACAGTCTGAATAGTCTTAGTAAATCCCATTTAATTTAGTAGTGCTTAATCTTATAGGTATGATAGTCCTATTTTTCCCTAACAATAACAGAAAAGGGGAAAATTAATTTTCTGGTATACAGACAGCAAATAACATTCTTATTTACTATTTAATATACTTTGTAACTATAAAATCACATCTATATTTTAAGGATTATAATAGACTTGAAAAATGAAAATTGGTATCAGAAATGTCATGACCCTATTTGCAGAGCTGAAAACTTCAAGTCAGAATGTGAGTACTTTTATAATCTATGCCATTACCGTTACCTATTTTAAATACATTATCACTAATATAAATTCACTTGTATACATGACATAGGTTTTCCATTACCAACTGAAGTATGCTTGTCATTCCTTTTCGAAGAGGTATGTTTTTCTCTTTTAATACTAAAATCCTTTAGTTACAGCATAAAATAAGCCATATTGCTGAACCAAGTAGAAGATAATTATGAAGTAAGAACCGATACATGGAATACATTAGCTGAATAATGTTTCCTGGAATGCTGATATAGGCTGGGTTCACACAGTAAACGATAATGTAATTTGGTTTGGGATTAGTGCAATGCATGAACCCCACTGCTGCAGTTTGTAAGCCATGTTTATGGTTTAATACAATGCATAAACCCAGCCAGGTATGCTTGGGAGGAAAAGGGTAATTTGAAGCTTTAAACCAGCCTTTTGAAGGCTTTCATGGCTGCTTTGAAGTCTGTTCTCACCTATCAGCCTAAAAATGTGCATGTACTGTACAGCTGCTTCTCTGACAACTAACACACTTTTGCAAAGGGTCCCTAATGCTTAAACTGTTCCTAGTCCATAGTGAGTCAATGCAGAAACTTAATGTAGAAATCCTGCAAAATAATTGGAGTAATGTTGGAAGTTTCTGACCTTCTTTGCACCAGTACTGTTTAATAGTTAAATGTACTTTACTGTACATCACTGTATTCATAAATCTCCCAGCAAATAAATATGTGGCTTCTTGTTTACCATATTATAAGTAATTTAATTATTGCAACCATAAAGCTTTACTAAATGTATCTCATAATTATATAGCAATATTTGGAAACCTTCCTGTATTCGTGTGTACTACATCACTTGAAACTTGTTGGGATTTGATTTCCAGTAAGAGGCTGTCCAGGACTGTAAATGGGTGGAGTTCCAGCATGATTCTTTATAATTTGTTCAGTGTCCAATTAAAAACCTTTGCGCAAGGTCCCCTCCATTAGAGCAGCACAAAGTAAATATCAGTAACGTGGAATGGGAATAGTTGAGTATGGCTGTCTGAACTGAGGTATGGAAGTCTGTATTTAACTTAAGCTGGAGTTGTCACTCTATATTCTGCTACTCTTTAGCAGCTTGCATCCAGTTCTGTTGAATCTGAAAAATGTGCAGCAATTCTCTGCGGAACAACATTCTTACAGAATCCACCTATCACCAACAATAACTGCATAATTATAGACAAATCCATAAACATAACCGCTTTGTTTCCTAGAACAAAATGTTGGTACTTACTCTTTCTTTTCTACAATGGATGGAAGTTATTCTATTACCAGATTTTGTTCTTCCCACTTGCTCTGATAGGGCTATAATTTTTTTTCAACATATCCCTGTGGGAACAGAACAAGTAATACAAGCCAAAAAAAGGCAACTGGGCACTCCAGCTGAGAAAAAATTGTAATAGTAAAATATATAGTGGCTACAAGTAGAGAGGCTCATGCTCCATCTTCTATAGCAGGGTTTCTGTGGAGGAGGACTTGGATGAGGAGGTTCAAGGTCATGGGGAGAAGCATCTCCTCAGCCCACAGCCTGAGCGTGTGAAAGCAGAGTATGAGACTGGCACCACCCTAAGGAATTCGTAGTGTTTAC